TCCTTCGACACCATCTGACGCTTGTTCTGGTCGGCCAGCGACTGGTCCCTCGACTTCGTGTTCGTTATGACGCCGCCGTAGTCGTAGCCAACTGTCCCGTCAATCATAGGAGACAACCAATTAGTTTTCAGACGGTCTCTGGCGTCTTATAGCGCCGGAAATGGACAGCCATTCCCTGTGCGGCGCATACATACCGTCGTCCGGGTGTTTGTTGTTGACGAAGCAGCCGTCGGCCGACAGATACAGTAATAGCACGCCGTTTGCCGGCAACTCCTTAAACCCGGAGGCCAGGAACACGAAGAACTGGCTGAACGTGGGCTTATAGAGCAGGTATTTGTGCGGGTTATCCCGTTTGCCGGTCGACGACACGCCGCCCCCGATGCCCACTCCACCGGCGCCGCTGCCGCCGCCGCTTCGGTGGTCCCCGTTCTCGGTGCCGAACGGCATGCGTCCGGTGGGCGCCGGCGAGATGTCGTACATCTGCGCGATGTCCTCCTGAGGCTCCCGTTCCAGCGCCTGAAGCATACGAAACATATCTAACGTGAGTTCACTGAACTTCACCTGCGGTTCGCCGACGGGTTTGTGGTTAGAAATAGAGATAATATAGCGATTAGTATCGGAAATGTTGGTGAAGGGGTTGTGGTGACACAGACCTGATCGGAACAGTTGCCAACAATCAGTATCTCTTGTAGTGTCAGATGACTTGTGACCACTTTCTCCAACGGCGGTGTATTCATTGGACTCAATCGATGGGATATTATTAGAGGAATGTTGTCCATGTCTACGACCGTCACAATGTTGTCGGCCTTTCCGGGAGATAATTGTATACGAGTTTAGCATTGAGTGGCAATTTAGAGGACTATAACGGCGTTCAATACCTCTATAAACGACTTGATCTCACTTAAGACTAGCGACCACTCGAGCTGGTCGTCGGGGTCATAGGTGACGGTGTAGTCGTCGATCTGTTTGGCCAACTCCTGTGTCATAAAAAATGAGTGAAAAATATGAAATCAAATGATAGATTGAAAGCTATTGTAATTATTTATAAGACATGTAATGGTTAGCGAAATGGCAACAAACCCGCACTAAATCGCGAACTAATTTCATTTTCTTGAGCAAAAGGCATACGACTATAAAGCGGGCGAAGTATCGCAACTTCTTGACCATGAGGTCAGCCCTTTCCTCTTTGGCCGCTTTGCTGTAATAACCTCTGGCTCTGATGGCCGAGTAGAAGGAATAGGCTTCGTTCAGGTAATTGGTTTCACTCGTGCGCAGACTGTTTGGACACCGAAGCAGACAATAGATAATTAGTGATTG